AGTGAGTGAGCCCACAGAATTTCAGTCTTTATAAAAACCCACTTCTTCAATTATTTTAGCAGTTTTTTATTTCAGTCCTGCCCATTGCTTAGAGCACCATCACCCTTAAAGTGAGCGGTCCCACCCAAAATTCTCTTTCCATTGTGATCTTCCCTTGTTTGGAGTGGTTGCTTGAGCTTCAAAAAAAAAAAGAAAGAAAAAGCAGAGAAATCCCAGTGGTTTTAGTACTTTTGAGCATCATTTCCAAAGGAGCAGGATTTACCCTTTTTTCAGGTTTGAAATTAAAATTCACCAGGACCATTCCAAGTGGGTGTGGTACCAAATCTCTGAATCTGTGCTGGTAAAAAAGGAGATCAGTTCTGATCAGGCTTTATAAAAATCCATTTTTTCAATTATTTTAACATCTTTTTATCACCCTTAAAGTGAGTGAGCCCAGAAAATTTCAATCTTTATAAACATCCACTTTTTCAATTATTTTAGCAGCTTTTTATTTCAGTCCTGCCCATTGCTTAGAGCACCATCACCCTTAAACTGAGCGGTCCCACCCAAAATTCTCTTTCCATTGTGATCTTCCCTTGTTTGGAGTGGTTGCTTGAGCTTCCCTGAAAAAAAAAAAAAAAAGGCAGAGCAATCCCAGTGGTTTTAGTACTTTTGAGCATCATTTCCAGAGGAGCAGGATTTACCTTTTTTCCAAGTTTGGAATTGAAGTTAAAATTCACCAGGACCATTCCAAGTGGGTGTGGGACCAAATCTCTGATTCTGTGCCACTAAAGAAGGAGATCAATTCTGATCAGACTTTATAAAAATCCATTTTTTCAATTATTTTAACATCTTTTTTATCACCCTTAAAAGTGAGCAAGTCTGCAAAATTCTCTTTCCAAAACGATCTTGCCTTGTTTGGGGTGGTTGCTTGAGCTTCAAAAAACCAAAAAAAGCAGAGACATCCCAGTCAGGAGAGGTTGTTTTGGTACTTTTGAGCATCATTTCCAAAGGAGCAGGATTTACCCTTTTTTCAGGTTTGAAATTAAAATTCACCAGGACCATTCCAAGTAGGTGTGGTACCAAATCTCTGATTCTATGCTGGTAAAAAAAGGAGATCAGTTCTGTTCAGTCTTTATAAAAATCCATTTCTTCAATTATTTTAGCAGCTTTTTATTTCAAA